CAATGCTTTCAGGTTTTGTAAAGTTTGTAAAATTATTTTTTTCCTTTTAATGCTTGCTTAACTTTTAGATCTACCTTTTAATTTGATAAGAAACATTTTTTCCTATAATGCAAATGCTAACTGTAGTTCTATATTTTTTTTAATACTTTAAAAAATCTATATGTTTTATTGATTTCAGAGACGTAGGGAGGGGGGAGAGAGAGAAAAACATCAACGATGCACATCCCCTACTGGGGATCGAGCGTACAACTCTGGCATGTGCCCTGACCAGAAATCTTAGCAGTGAACCTGGTTCATAGGTTGATGCTCAACCACTGAGCCACGCCGCTGGGCTCTTTTATTACTTTTTATTGGTATATAAAAATAGAAAAGTACATACAAATGTACATTTTGACGAGTTTTCATAAACTGAAGATATCAGCACTCAAAGATGGAACATTATCAGTACCCAGAAGCCTATTTTTGTCACCTTTCAGTCACTGGCTACCCTTCCCCCTACCTCCATGGTAATTACTTCCTGACTTATAAAACTATAGACCAGTTTTTCCTGTTTCTGTAATTTATGTAAATGAAATTTTGCTTGGACTTTTTAAATGTCAAGATTAATCTCAGAATAAAAAATAATAGAGGTGTTTTTTTCTGAAGAATGTTTGCAGCTTTTTGAAAATGAGATTTAACAGTCAAGTGGGTAAGGGAATGCTTAAGATAAAAGGTGAAGATAAAAAGACAGTTGAAGTTTCAGACTCAACACTAATCTTACACCATTATTTGAAACAGCAGCACTAAGTAGAGTTGGTACCTTTATTGGGTTAAGTGGATTGTTAGTGATTTTTAGTCTTGTTTTCTTCCCAGATCATGTCAGCATTAAGGGCACAAAAGTGGAACTATGCAAAGTAACACATTTAATGTATAATTTTAAATGTTATATAAAAAGCATTGCTGAGTAAAAGCATGTTTAATGACAGTTAATCTGGTAAGGTAGCTGGGATTTTTCCCAAGCAAAGGGAGCTCATCTTGGTCACATTTCTACCAAGAGTTAGAAAAAAGATGAAGGTTAGGCGTTAGGCCTGCTAGAAAGGAATTAGAGTTATTGGCATTCATTTTCTGAGCTCCACCGGAGGAAGAAAATACACAGTTTCCTAAGCTAGTAAGTTGTGCTGAAGCACTCATGTAACTCAGGTAAATAAATGCTGAGTCCATAAGATCAGTGGTCGCCAACCTTTCGGGCCTCACGGACCACCAGTAGTCTACGGACCACCAGTAGTGCACCGACCACTGGTTGGTGGCCTCTTCATTAGATTCTCCAGTAAGAACAGGCAATTTTAAATGACTAACCAAAGATCCTGTATTTTTTTTTTTAATTAATGTTTTTAAATATGCTTTTTTTTTTTTTTTTTTAAAGGGAGGTAGGGAGGGAGAAACATCAGTAGGCTGCCTCCTGCCCACCCCCTGCTGGGGATTGAGCCCAAAACTCAGGCACATGGCCTGACTGGTAATCAAACTGGGTGACTCTCAGTGCATGGCGAGATCCTGTATTTTTTATTTATAATCATGTTTGGTAGGGGAATGGAAAGATGGTGGGAGTTAGCAATAATATGTACACTGAATTGAATATAGGCTTTTTAAAAGTATACTTACACTTTTACTTTTTGTGCAGAAACATTTGAGAGATTATATTGAAACTTGATAATCCTACATAATAAAAGCCTAATATGCTTAGTGTCCAGTCATCTGATCAACCAATCAAAGCATAAAATGCTAAAGATATGCTAAGGCCACTCAACCGCTCGCTATGATGTGCATTGACCACCAGGGGGCAGATGCTCTGACCCGTAGGTTAGCTTGCTGCTGGGGTCCAGCTGATCTGGACTGAGCGAGATGGGCTGGGCACACCTTGGAGCTGTCCTGCGGTCCCTCCTCAGCCCTGATCGTGCACTGGTGGGGTCCCTTGGCCTGGCCTGAGCCCTCTTGCAATCCCGGACCCCTCAGGGGGTGTCGGAGAACCAGTTTCAGCCTGATCCCGCAGGCCAGGCCTAGGGACCCCACTGGTGCACTAATTCGTGCACTGGGCCTCTAGTGTTAAAATAATACTGAATATTACCTAAGGTCTTAAGAGTAACACTACTTTATAGTTACTGCTTTAGAAGCCTTTTTCATGGATAACACTGGCACTGATTCTTACCTGTTCTGCTCTCTACCTTTTTTTTTTTTAAAAAAAAATATTTTTATTGATTTCAGAGAGGAAAGGGGAGGTAGAGAGAGATAGAAACATCAATGATGAGAGAATCATTGATTGGCTGCCTCCTGCATGCCCACAACCCGGGCATGTGCCCTTGACCAGAATTGAACCTGGGACCCTTTAGTCTGCAGGCTGATGCTCTTTCCACTGAGCCAAACCAGCTAGGGCTGCTCTCTACCTCTTTGTTAATACTTTATTACTAACATCTTTACCTTTGTAAAACAGAATGAAAACCATTGTGAGAGTTGATTAATAATGACTACCAGTAAACACAATACTAAAATTGTGTTTGAAATTGAAAGCTAATATTCAAAGTATCTTCATGATTGCTAAACAGTTTATTTAGAATTTGGCTATAGAATTTTGCCTTTTGCTACGAAGTAAAAGGTATTTAGACATCTTTGAGAAAATTTAATTTTGTATAACGATTATTTTTTTGGTCAATTTTTCAGTTCATTCTGAATCTAGACTTGCTCAGCCTAATCAAGTTCCTGTACAACCCGAAGCTACACAGGTGAGAGTGATATAAATATTTTTTGCAGGTTTGTTTTTAGCCAGTTCTTTAGTCACTTTCTTAGTTAGCTTATGAAAGTCAGGTATGAATTTTATGAGTGTCCAAATCTGGCATGTGTAGCTTTATTTCCATTACAACATTTATTTTTCTTGGTGATGTATAAAATTTTTTTCTAATTCTTGTTTTTTTAGACTAGTTTATTATAATGAAAGAAGAAGCTTTTAGACATAATTCTAAAATTTAGTGCAGATATTACCATTTTAGAAGCATTTGTGGGGGCCTTACAACTGGACTAATGTTTAACTTTGAGCTCTAATAATACATGTATTTTTTATAGTGGTTAGGTTTTATAGTCTACTTACCTACTTTTTTTTAGCCTTGCATGTATTAGAGTTGGCTTAGAACACAAAGAAGCTTTGATTACTTTATCTCTGTGTAGGTTCCTTTGGTTTCATCCACAAGTGAAGGGTATACAGCATCTCAACCCTTGTACCAGCCTTCTCATGCTACAGAGCAACGACCACAAAAGGAACCACTTGATCAGATTCAGGCAAGTTCTGTTACCAGGTCATATAAACTTGATGAGGTGCTTATTCATGAATTGGGCAGAGGTAAATGACTGTTAATATAGTGACTTTCATTTTGGACCTAATGCATGTACTACAGCATTTTTATTTCATGAAATGGTTGAGTTTGTTAATACACATATGGGCAGTAGCCTTGGCTAAGTGTAGTTTATCACTAAAGTGCATCTATTCACTTTGTGTTTAGGCAACAATCTCTTTAAATGCAGACCAGACTACAGCATCCTCATCCCTTCCTGCTGCCTCTCAGCCCCAAGTGTTCCAGGCTGGGACAAGCAAACCTTTACATAGCAGTGGAATCAATGTAAATGCAGCTCCATTCCAATCCATGCAAACGGTAGGCAAATTAATTCAACCAACATTGAGTACCTAGTGTGTACTATTATGCTAGAGTTTCAACAAAAAGTCTTTATTTAACTTTGTGCTTGAGTCTGCATCTACCCTAACTGTAGGGTATATTTAATTGAACCTAAACTCTGATTTTCCTGCTTCCAACGGTAGATTTGAGTCTTAGGAGTTATGTGTTTTACAGCTGCACTCTTTTGATTTGATTAACAAAATTTTAAATATGCAGAAAAACAGACCAAAATAATATCTATATATAAACATTGTTACCTAGATTTAACAGTTGTTTAAATTTTGCTATATTTACTTAATTGTTTACTGAAGTACATCAAAGTAAATTTCAGGCAGTCTGATACTTCACCCTGTTTCTTCAGTAAACATCTCTAAATTGTAGTTTGTAGAAAATGATGATAATGGAAAACAATCAGTGGGATAGAGTTAAATCAGTGCTCATAGGAAAATTCATAGTGTTACATACTTAAAATATTAACTTGTGATTGAAAATACCATAAAAATAAAATAACAAGTAAATATTCAACTCAAAGTTGAAGTTTATAGAATTAATTTGTATAACTGATATTGTATCAGGGGTTTATGTCTTTATACAGATTTATCATTTATAATAGCATTTCCAAGGCTATTGATTATATGTCTTTAGATTTTTAAAATCCCCATTCATAATTCTCTTCTTTAAGTGCTGGATGGCATATATTTTTTCCCACATTGAAGTGCATTAAATGAAAGATGTGTGTGTGTGTGTGTGTGTGTGTGAGAGAGAGAGAGATGTTTGAGACTTTTTTACATTTGAGGTAAAACCAGCATTGAAGTCTGCCATGTTAAAAGTGAGGAAATTATTAGCATAACTGGATGAACTAATCATTTATTTACTTACAGGTGTTCAATATGAATGCCCCAGTTCCTCCTGTTAATGAACCAGAAACTTTAAAACAGCAGAATCAGTACCAGGCCAGCTATAACCAGAGCTTTCCCAGTCAGCCTCACCAAGTAGAGCAAACAGAGCTTCAGCAAGAACAGCTTCAAACAGGTAGGGTACCCTGCATCACGTCCTGGCTACTTGTTTCCCAATGCAGGTGTTGACAGTGTAGGACAGTTCAGACTTCAGAGTGGCCGCATCCAGGAAGTTTTGTGTTAGCATTAGACCTTACGGATTTTGCATTTTTGGTCCTGAGTTAAATTGAGTACGTATTTGCTATATATGAATAACTTGCAGTATTATACCCATTTTCCTTTGGTCAGTGAGCTTTCATAGTATCTTTTTTATTATATGATTTTAGTGGAATTAAACTTGTTACTCAAATTATGTATAATTTGCTTTTAATTGCTAATTTATTAAAGCCTGCTGGCATGATACTCAGCACTCAGTTATACAAAGCCAGGAAGCAGTAAGGAGTTGGTGGTGGCTGCATTTGGTTGATTGGTTGAAACAAAAGTCCTTGTTGGAAAGTATGGTTGTAATTTGGCCTGTTATCATACCTGTCACAGTAATAAAGTAGATAAAGATATTTTAGATTTGTTAAATTTGTAACACATGAAATACCTTTTTAGGTCTATGGTTATTTAATTCCTAGGACTTTAATTGGGATCCCACAACAAACTATAGCAAACCCTGCTAAAACCATAGGAGTTGTTATTACTTTGATTTTAGTAACTGAAATTTTCTTGTTAGACCTGGATCAACATGGTAGATTTTTCAGTAATAAATCCTTACATAGCCCTATAGTACTCAGCATTTACTAATCAGCAGGTAGGTTAAGTCAGTCATAATCTGATAGAAATTTGCCAGTTATGCTATATGTGCTCAGCTTCTGAATAACTGGGCTTCTTGCTCTCAGGCTCCTTTAATTATTTCATTGCCATGTATTCATAAATTGGTTTGGAGCAGGTAAATTTGGGGCCTTTTGACATTGTGCTGACATGCTTGCTATTTTGCCATTTTTTTTCAGATGGTGTGATGAAATGAAAAGTAATTACTACATATCATTTGATTTGCTTAATTTTACCCCTTGTGCCAGTTGATTTCAAACTCCCTTGCTCTTATATTGTAACTTGCCTTCACTAATTGACTGAAGCACTTGAGCTAGATAACCTTTTGTTAGCATTTTAAAAGACATTATTTATAAAGATTAACTGTATAACATTCAGACATTTTCAATAAAAAAGCAAAATCAGCCCATATATTTTGCTTATTTAAACTGAAAACTCTAGCCTAGTTTGTTCTTTACACAGTAGCCCAGAGTGATTATTTTAAAATGTAAATCAGATGTCTTTCTCTTGTTCAAAACCTTTCAGTGACTTCCCATTTTATTTAGAAAAGAAATCCAAAGTCCTTGGTTTATAAGGTCCTTTATGACCCGGCCCCTGCCTTGATCCTGCGTACATTAGGTCCTCGGGTTTAGTACGACATAACGCGATTTTCGCCTAAGTTGGAGCCCACCTATGTACATTAGGTCCTCGGGTTACATCGGAGATACGTTTCTATGGTATGACATAACGCGATTTTCGCCTAAGTTGGAGCCCACCTACATAAGCACCTATGTCATTCACATGGAGCACACACACAGCAGCAATGAAGTAAAACAGTAAAAAAAATTTAAAAGAAAGATAACAATTCCTGACTTTTGTGGTAAATAAATAATAAAAAACATAAAGCACATATGTACATATGTCGAAATGACGGAACTTTTTTTTTTTATAAATGGGAGATGGCGACATAACCACGAAACGACGTACGTCGAGTCCGTCGTAACCCGAGGACTGTCTGTACATCCTATTTCCTTCCATACCAACCACAAACACAGCAGGTTCTCTGCTCTCTCACAGCCTTTACACTTTCCTCCTTATTGCCTGAAACTTTCTTCCACTCATGTTTATGGGGCTTTGTTTATTGACCTTTATTAGGTTTTTGCTCAGATAGCACCTTACAGAGACCTCCCTTCATTGCCCTGTCTAAATATTTCACACTCACTTTAGTCACTTATTTATCCTACTATGGTTTAGTCTTCATCACTTATTACCTGATACTATATAGATGTTTTCACTTGTAAGTGTATTTTATTCACTTATCTCCCATTATTAAAATGTCCATCTGGGCAAAGGTTGTGCGTTAGTAACTGATACATCCCTGATGTCTAGGACATGCTTGGCATGTTGAGAGCACTCCGATAGTTGTTGAACAAATCAGTGTGTCCCATCATTCCAGAAGTGTTGTTTAATTTGAATTAAAGGAGAAAAGGAGTCCTGGTATTTTTAAATAAAGATCACTCTTTAATTGTTTTGCTTTGAGTTTCTTACAGTGAGATTTGACCAACATTAATTCTTAGTGATAAAAAGTGAGTCGAAAATTCGGTTCTTTTACCTACTTTCTACCCGCATACAAATGAATCTTTTTAGATAGACAATGTTACTTGTACTGGTAATATTTGCTTGTAATTTTAAATTTTGGGAATGCAGTAAAAGGTAATTAACCTAAAGATCACATTGTAAATAACAGTGTATTTGTTCCATTACATAATTGAAAAAGGAGTCATGATCCTTCCTTCCTTAGACATTTCCTACCCTTTTAATTGAAAAATACAATTCTATAAACTAAAATGTACTTAGGGGTTCTTGAGTATATAAAATAAGTCAGGTAAAGATGTTCGAGAGTCACGCCACCTTTTCTTTCTGCCCAAGCAAGGGAGGTTTGGGCTGGCTAGAGGCTGCTGTTTTTGTTCCTGGGTGTAGGCCTTCCTGTGGTCTCTACTTTCTTCATCTCCCAAAGGTTTAGTTAGCACCCGGTTTTTTGCCTCCCCCACCCCGTGAATTATGAAAATTATGAACATTGGCATAATAGCAGAGATGTGCCTCAGTATTTAACATTGGAAGGTTCCTAGATCCTCCACTGTAGAGAGGAGGAGGACGGGTGCAGAGTAGTGGGCCTTCTAAGACCTTTCATTCTAGCTACTGCATGCTGGTGTATCATTTAACTGTCTTCAGAATTGGCTGCACTCAAAAGTGCTTGAAATGAATCAAGAATTAAGGGGGGTACAAGTTAAAGGCCTCTGCTGGTTTATCTTTGTAATTGACTGAATATTGTAGCTTAGCTATGGAAACAGTTTTTTGTAAGTTTTCACTAAATTTGAGGGAGATTTAAAAGAATGAAAGCTTCAACCACTAAGGAACTTTATAATGAAAAGAAATAATTAAATGCTATAAAATGATAATTTTACTGTTTCTGTATGTGAGATCTTCTGAATTAGTTTCTTGTGCTAATAGGCGATGCCTTTCAGAAGATGTTTAATAATATAGCTTTTCAAATCATTTGGAAGGATAGAATTGTGTGTTCTCACACAGTTGTGTGCTTTCAGAGATAAGGAATTGTTGGAGATTTTTATTCTGTTGTAGGAGCAAGGCAGGGACTTACTAATGTGTAGTTTTCCCTATTAATATGAAAATTTGTTTAAAGACAGAATTAAACTTTGAGGAGATTGTATAAGACACTTCTTAAGCCAGAAAGCATGTGGGAGAACAAATTGTAATGAGCTGTGTGTAGTGTGTGTGTGTATACATGTTTTTTCCCCCTCTTTTATTGTAGTGGTTGGCACTTACCATGGTTCCCAGGACCAACCCCATCAAGTGACTGGTAACCACCAGCAGCCTCCCCAGCAGAACACGGGGTTTCCTCGGAGCAGTCAGCCCTATTACAACAGTCGTGGTGTGTCTCGTGGAGGCTCTCGTGGTGCTAGAGGCTTGATGAACGGATACAGGGGCCCTGCCAATGGATTCAGAGGTAAAAATTAATACCAAGTTCATGTCCTTTCCTGATTTGTAAAATACGTAGAAATAGTCATGTTTTGGGGAAAGATATGTATCTCTCTACATTAGTCTCCTTTATAATTTAAAAACTTGTATATTTTGATACAGTCATTTAAATTGACATTGAGTTTTTTATGTGTCAGACCCATGCCTACTATTGTCCAATAAGGGATAATTGCTTTACATATATTATCAGACCTTAGGGATATTTTTCTGGTTGTTTTTTTGTCTTTTCATGTGTGTATGTGCATGGATGAGAGAAAATTTCATCTTCTAATTCAGCGGTTCTCAACCTGTGTGTCGTGACCCCTGGGGCAGGGTCCGGTTGAACGACCCTTTCATAGGGGTCACCTAAGACCATTGGAAAACACATATATAATTACATATTGTTTTTGTGATTAATCACTATGCTTTAATTATGTCCAATTTGTAACAATGAAAATACATCCTGCATATCAGATATTTACATTATGATTCATAACAGTAGCAAAATTACAGTTATGAAGTAGCAATGAAAATAATTTTATGGTTGGGGGTCACCACAACATGAGGAACTGTATTAAAGGGTCGTGGCATTAGGAAGGTTGAGAACCACTGTTCTAATTACTGCTCATAGAAATATATAAACAGATTGGGTCAAGATAGTGATTAGAAATTAATATGAATAGCTTATAATATTTTAGTTCTTCCCTTGGTTAGTAGTAAGAAAGTAAACATTCCTTGTGAAGAGAAGAAAATTATTCTCTTGTCCTAAATTTTAGGAGGATATGATGGTTACCGCCCTTCATTCTCTAACACTCCAAACAGTGGTTACACACAGTCTCAGTTCAGTGCTCCCCGGGACTACTCTGGCTATCAGCGGGTAGGTAAAGTTGTTTTAAAATATAAACCTGACTGAAATATACCAATGGAAGTGATTGATGTAGTTTCTTTTTAAAATATATTTTTATTAGTTTCAGAGAGGAGAAAGGAGAGAGAGAAGCATTGATTGGCTGCCTCTTGCGCGGGCGCATGCACGCACACACACACACGCACTCACACCTCCTCCCCACTGGGGATGGAGTCCACAACCCGGGCATGTACCTTGACCGGGCATCGAACCTCAACCTTCTGGTTCATAGGTTGACGCTTAACCACTGAGTCATACTGGCTGGGCTGTAGTTTCTTGATGGACTTGATTAACTAATTTGGGCTGATTTGTATACCTGTTTTTTTTTTTTAAATTATTTTTATTGATTTCAGAGAGGAAGGAGAGGGAGATATAGAAACATCAATGATGAGAGAGAATCATTGATTGGCTGCCTTCTACACACCCCCTACCGGGGATTGAGCCCACAACTCAGGCATCTGCCCTTGACGAGAATCTCTTCAGTCTACAGGCTGACACTCTATCCACTGAGCCGAACCAGCTAGGGCTGATTTTATACCTTTGTACAAGATAAAGATAGTTCATTATGGAGAATGATGACTTTTGCTTTTTTTAGTACTCAGTGTAGGTACTCATTTAAGAACATCTGTTAAAAACAATGATTTTTAAGAGCAGAGAAAATATTTCATTGAACATTCTTAAGAATAATAGGCATATAACAATTACAGAATAATGGTTATATTGAAATGTCTAAAAGAATAAGGAGGAGTTCTATATTTTGCAAATATCTGACTAAGAATCTAGATGGCTAAGGATTTAAAAATTACTGTCTCTTCTCTTCAGTACTAACTAGCATGTCTTTTAGGATGGATATCAGCAGAATTTCAAGCGAGGCTCTGGGCAGAATGGACCACGGGGAGCCCCACGAGGTAATATTTTGTGGTGGTGATCCTAGTTCCTAAGTGGAGCTTCTGTTCTGGCCTTGGAAGAGCTGTTCATAATCTGCATGTAGGTTACTTGTTAGGAATACATTTATCATTTCCAGACTTGTTGCAAGGATTAAATGAAATGCTCTGTTTCTAAAATTTATCTTGAACCCAAATTTAATTTTTTGAATGACTGTCCCTGTTACTATAAACTGTCTCAAAAACTAGAACATTTTTCCTCCTCAGAAAAAAAATGTTTTTCCAACTGCAAATTATTTTTCAGGTCCTAAAACCTGCTAAATGTTTTTAGGAAGTACTTACTGAAACATTTTGTAAGACATTTTTGGAATGAGATTGAACATTTATATAAATTTATTATTCCTCTTTTATTTTTGAAACATGCATATTATATTTTAGGGCCAGAGACCCTTTAATGGCCAGATAAGCCATAGTTACATTTAGAGAACCATTTAGAAGTCATAGAACTAATTGAAATTTCAATGCCTTTTGGACCACTATTATATAAATACCCATTAGTTTCTGACTTTTAAACAAAACCTCCAAATTCCTAACTAATTAAATCATATTTAAAAATACAGCTTTTAAGAGTTTTTGGTTTTGTCTATTACTGTAGGAAAACTACTTCGTACTATTTGGGCAGGAAGTCAACCTATGTAACAGAAGTAGCATTTCATCTGATCTGAAGTTCTAAATGGTTCTCTTATTGGAAGGATGTAAATTGAATAGGTTTCCTCTAGATTTTGGCCATCACATGTATAAAATGTATATTTCGGAGGAATTATAAAGTACTTTGATTTTAATGCTAATAGGAACTGGCCAGCAAAAGGTGCATTTTTAAAAAATTAATGGATCACTGGGAAATTATTGACTTGAAATATCAAAGGATATTTGCATGTGAATGTGAGTTATGTTCATTTTCACCTTGTAGCATATTCTATGAAAGTTGAGT